TATATGCCGAAAAATACGGTAGTTAATGCATTTGTGGGGGGGGGGTGAGCAGTAATGGTTAGCCACTAGTTTGTTTGTAATGTTCAACAGTAGTTAAAATGTCAAATCTGACTTGGTCGGTATGGCTGATAGGGCTGGATGACTGGACTGGGCTTGGCAGGAATGTTTCTCTCCTTGAGGTTGTCTAAGGACCAAACAGCTGCCAAACATTTCCAAAAAAAATGGGTCTACTTGGGGGTTTGCCAAACAGACATTTATTTATTTTAAGCAGCATACGAGGATCTCTCAAACATTTCTGAAGATAAATTGCTACTTTTGGAAGCCTTGCAGAAGAGGCCATTCACCCTCTTTCTGGGGTTCCATGCACACTTTGCCCAGCCCTGCAGTAGAGCAGAAGAAAGTCCTGTTCTCCAAAAAAGAATTCAATTATCAAGCAACATTGACTTTGTTCAGCAGAAACATATGTGTGCAAATGTTCCCGTGTACAATTATAATTCCTTGGAAAGCCTGGTTTCATACCACACTAGGAAAAGGTATTTTAAAAGAAGCCATTTTACTAAAATAGCCACAGTCATCCTCTTTAGGCATTTTCCTATCTAGATGTTGGGTATCAAAACCACTCATGCAAACCATTCTGAATTTAGCTTTCTCTGCAAGGCAATTGCACTTTTTTTGCTTTGGAGGTTTTTTTAGGCTGCATCTGCACTGCAGAAATAATCCAGTTTGACACTGCTTTAACTGCCAGGGCTGAATGCTATCGAACTATGGGATTTGTAGTTTTGTGAAATATTTAGCCTTTTCTTTCAGAGTGCTCTGGTGCCACAATAAACTACAAATCCCAGGATTCTATCACATTGAGTCATGGCAGTAAAAATGATGTCAAACTGGAATATTTCTATAATGCAGATGCAGCCTTCGTTTTGTTTGAAAGAATGATCAAAGTCTGCCTTCTCTTCCAGAGCTTTTCTGGGATTGGTTTGCTTTGTTTTGCTTCTCTCCACTTCTTACTTTGCTTAAAGCTGGGATGAGAATCATGTAGCCTTCCAGATGTTTTTGACTGGTGCAGCCAAGCCAACATCCTTTGGAGGGTCACATGAGTCCAACTCCTGGTTGTTGTTGTTGTTGTGTGTTGTGTGCCTTCAAGTCATTTCTGACTTATGGTGAACCTATCATGGAGTTTCTTGGTAAGGTTTGTTCAGAGGAGGTTTGTCATTGTCTTCCCCTGAGGCTGAGAGAATGTGACTTGCCTAGGGTCACTAAGTGGGTTTACATAGCCAAGCTGGGAAACAAACCCTGGGCTCCAGAGTTGTAGTCTAATACTCAAACCACTACACCACACTGGCTGTGGAAGTGCTGGGTTACAAACCCCATTTTTAGCTTTCTGGAAGGCACCAGATTGGGTTTCATGGCCAAGCGGGAATCGAACCCTGGTCTCCAGAGTCTTGGTCCAACGCTCAAACCACTATGCGATGCTGGTTCCAGTTCCTGGTTAGAGACTCTTTATTTCTCTACACAGGGAGGATAACTGGAAAGCAACAAGTGACAGAGCCAAATTATGTACTCACTCACAGTCTTCATGAATATTCAAATAGATATAAGTGAGAAAGTGTACATGGTGGTGTAAACTATGGTTCTACTTGTAGTAGGAGTCTCATAATCTGTCACTCTGGAAATAGCTTTTTTGATGATTTTCTTAAGGATTGTGTCCCAAAGCAATTAATACTATACCACCAAAAATGTTGCTGAATGCTTTGCTTGTATTTACAAGTACTTGTATTCAAGTAAAATAATTTACTTGTTGGCATAGTGTAAGGAGCAGCAGGATTAGGGCGTATACATTTCTGGGAATTTCCTAGGTACAGATGTTTAATAATAGTGTGTTTTAATCCCAGATCCCGTTATCTGCTTCTGTCTTGTGTATTATAAAAAGGCCAGAGGAGAGTTGATGCCGATTCTCTTTCAACGTCTAGCAATCCTAATAATGTTACCCACAACAGAGGGGTGATTTTACTTGTTTATCCTTCTGTGTGATACGTGCCATTCTCTGTCAAGCAAAGTTTTTCTGTGCTTTACATTGGACAACCAGAACAGTCTTGATGCACAAGGATAAATGGGCATAAATCTGATATAAGAAATGACAATATCCATAGCCCACTCACACAGTCTCTGACCTACAAGAAGCTGTTCTGGAAAAGGGGCAAAAGGAAGATTGGAGAGAGAAACAGCAGAACTGGGATACATTTACAAATTCAAATCCATTAGCAAAGGTCTGAGCAGAGACAATGGTTACATGGCATATGATGTATATTAATATATGGGTGTACATCACTGTTACACATGTAATAAAAGAATTAGACCTAGAAAATGTTCCTGCTTCACGGGAATAGACTCTTGGGTAATCAAATTTTGCTGCTTTCACACCTCAGGACTACAAGACTAACCAGTTTACAGAGCTCTATCATCTTCAACAAGGATTTGAATGTTTTTGGACAGGTTCACAATTTGCATCTTTCTGCATCCTCTTAATACTCCATTCCATCACCACAATTATGTAACTGTGCTTAAATACCTGTGGCTTTAATTTTGTACTACATATGGAGAAGTTGACTGAAATCCATGAAAGCTAAAATAAATCCTTTGGTTTTAAAAGTGCTGCTAGATTCCTCCTCCACCTTTTCTTTCTTTCTTATAATACAAAAGACAGAGGCAGATGAGAGGATTTGGGATTAGAATGAATTAAAGCCAAACAGTTACATGTTCTACTATTGTTCCTTGCACTATCCAACCAAATTACTATATATACTCATGTATAAGTCAACCCCATGTATAAGTTGAAGGCAGGTTTGAGGGCTGAAATAATAGATTTTGATGTGACCCATGGATATGCCAAGGGCAAAACTTTGGAGCTCAGCATGGGGCTCCTAGGATCTATGGTGGCCCTTTGGCATTTTCCTAGTGGACAGGGGTTGCTTTCTGCTGCAGCAGGGAAACATCAAATAGTTACTGTTGCTGCCATTTTCCCTCCCAGACATTACAAAAGGCTGCCAGGGACAGTAGAGGGGGTCAGTGTTTTTTTATGGTTCTCCTAGGACAGAAGATGGTGTGAGCTCAGTCTATCCAGGAAGAACGTTCCTTAAAGGAATCCCCAACCCTTTCCATTCTCCCTACCTTGGCAGGAAATGCTAAAAAGGTGTGCCAGGATGGCGACAATAGTGATTCCTTTCAGGTGAGGTCTCTCTGGATGGGCTGAGCTCTCACAGTACTGGCTGCATCTGAAAGTGCTTGGGAACGTTTTGAAGAGGCTTTAAAGGAACAAGTGGAGCATCTTGGCTCATCCTGCTGGGAAAAAATAAAAGGAAAAATGGGGGCAGAGTAGGCACTGTACAAAACACATTTGTTTCCTGTGATTGGAGTAGACGGGAAAGGATTGAGGTGAGAAGAAAGGAAAGATTGTGGGAGGAGGGTACTTGCTTGCCACTATCACTGCTTCCTCTGCCTCTTCTTGACCTGATGCTGCTGCTGCTGCTGCTACCTGTCCTCCACCTCACCTGCCCCTCATCAAGCCATGAGATAAATGAATAGGTGGGATTTTCTGCTGCATCCCAGGCACTCCTTGCTTGAATCAGAACATCGCATTTCAAAGAAATGCTCTGCTTGGTTTGGACACTCATTGTCTAGAGGTTGGGAAGCAGGTGGGGAGACAGGAGAAGCCCTCTAGAATCTCATGAGTCTTGGTGACTTAGGGCCTTTGCAGACTGCCAGAAATAGTGCAAATTGAGTCCACTTTAAGGGTTAGGGTTAGTGCTAGGGAATCATGGGAATTGGTTTTTTTCCTGAGACATTGAGCCTTCTCTGTCAGAGAGCTCTGGTGCCACAATAAAATACAGTTCCCATGATTCCCTAGCCCTAACCCTAACCCTTAAAGTGGACTCAATTTGCACTATTTCTGGCAGTCTGCAAAGGCCCTTAGTGAAAATTCTTTACTACAGCTGGAGAGCAAGATTGAAGTACAAGGGCACCCTTTGCTTCTTCAACCCACTCCTCACCTCTGGAAGATGGGGAAGCCAAGAAACCATCTTGGTAATTTGGCAAAAGCACTTTACTACAGGTGGGGAGCAGAGTTGAAGAGGCATGGATGCCTGTGTCTCGGGCATGAAAATTTTTAGGGCCCCACCTCCCTAAAGCTTTTAACCTTCCAGACAAAGAGTGTCCAAACCAGGTGGCACATTCCCTTATGAACACACTATTTCAAGCAAGAAGTGTCTGGAGTGCAGGAGAAAAGCCCACTCAATCACCTACCGGTACCTTGTGGCTTGGTCCAGGGTTGGAGGAGGCAAAGAGAAGTGATGATGGCAGCAGACACAACATCAGGTGGTGGAGAAGGAGGCACAGTGAGCAGGTAGCCCCTATCCACAATCAGCCCTTTCCTCTCACCTCAATCCTCCCCTGCCTTCTGGAGGCACAGGGAACAAATGTGATGCATACAGCACCTAATATGCTCACCACTTTCTCCCTCAGGCTGAATGCTCTGCTTGCTCCTTTAAAGCTGCTTCCAAACTTTCCCAAGCTCTTCCAGGTGTGGCTGGTATGGCAAGAACTTCTGTTTCTGGAGAGCCTAGCTGAAAATACACACCTCTCTTGCCACAGCAGGGAAACATATACACACAAACACCACCATTCTTTTTCTTTTTCTTTTTCTTTTTTGAGCAGGCATAAAAAATGGCTAGAAGCAGCACTGCAGTGGACAGAGGTACTGCTTTGACCCATGTATAAATCAATCCAGTTTTTTTAGGCTGATTTTTGGCATAGATTTTTGAGCTTATATATGATCATATACTGTAATTTGTTTTACTTAAATACAATGGACAGCTGCTTTTCCTTTTTATATTGTAGCAGACTAACACCAATATTTCATTGAAAATTGCCCTTTATATAATAATAATAATAATAATAATAATAATAATAATAATAATATGTTTTATTTATAACCTGCCCCTCTGCTCGGCAGTTCATGAGGAGCTTTAAAAAGGACATGGACTCTCTGGCACATGTATATTTATTTAATTAGGGCTTCCTCCAGTCAGGTTGCAACAATTAAACTTCTGCACCACAAAGGTTTTGTTTCTTTCTACAAGCATTTATAAATTGACCTGCATTGCAATTCAATTCAAGCCTAGCCCATTAAACTGAAGAAGCATTGCATCAACTGAAATCCTCTCTGGATGCTCACTTCCATGGAGCTCTACAGGAAAATTTTTGCTTGAGGCTGGAGTGTTCCTTATGAGAAACTTCCTGTACTGGGAAAAGCTTCTGCCAGCTAAGCTCCTGCTCCTTTTTCATACATAGCTGCCTTTAGAGTGTGGCCTTCCATGCATTGCTCTACCTTCAGTACCTTGGAGCTTGATTTTCTACCTGTTTTGGCCAGGATTGGAAAACAAGTTTAAAAACAAAACAAAACAAAAACAAAAAACAAAAAACAAAAACCCAACCCCCCTGTTTTTTTTTAAAAAAACTTTGAACCAGTTTTTTTATTGTTGTTTAAACCATTTTTTCCCATAATGTGTAGGACTATACCAATATAGGACTAAATCTGAAAAAAAAGCAAAATGCAGTTTAGATGTTATGGCCATTAGCTTAAATAATAATTGTGCTTTAAGAAGTGCTCTTTTAAAGCAGTTGTTTTGATTGAACTTAGGTTAATTGAAGGATTTGTTTCTGAATGGTATTTCTCACACTAGAAAAATAAGTAAGGGCCTTTGCAGACTGCCAGAAATAGTGCACATTAAATTGAGGCACTGCCCTGGCTCAGTGCTAGGGAATCATGGGAATTGTATTTTTTTCTGAGACATTGAGCCTTCTCTGTCAGAGAGCTCTGGTGCCACAATAAATTACAGTTCCCATGATTCCCTAGCACTGAGCCAGGGCAGGGCCTCAATTTAATGTGCACTATTTCTGGCAGTCTGCAAAGGCCCTAAGAAATTAAAATACAAATAAAATAAAATGAGTAAAAAGAAGCAATTGATACTGGATACTGGTCTGACACTGGATACTGGTCTGACACTGGATACTGTTATGCCCTTTAATTTTAAACAGTTGTTGTTCCAATAAGAGGGCTGGAAAACAGTAATAATAACCATCCTGGATTGGCCCCCTTTACTTTGATGGCTTCATAGAAGGATTCCAGCTTTTCTGAGCCCTGCATTACAAGCTGTACCTGCCACAAGTCAATCTTTCATGCTACCTGTCATTGAGAGGACAGGAGTCCCCATTTTCATGCAATTTTCCTAGATGATTTTATGAAAGTTGAAAGAAAAAATGCCTTCAAATAACTGGTGGGCAAGAGG